TTATATATATATATTATATATATATATATATTATATTATATTATATATATTATATATATAATATATATTATAGAGAGAGAGAGAGAAGAGAGAAGAGAGAGAGAGAGAGAGAAGAGGAGGAGAGAGAGAGAGAAGAAAGGAACCAAGAAGCAATGTTAGGCGCTAACGGCATGCCTCTCTCCCTTAGGTACCGACGGAAGAGGCTCCTGAGCTGGTGTGGAGAGCGGGGAACTGGCGCTGCACTTGGAGGCCCTCCAGCGCTGGCACGACGAGGCCGAGCTCCTAAGGGAGGTGCGAGTCCTTCCTCCGGCGTTTTGACGACCAGATCAACCTCGAGGCAGAGACTCGAGGCCAAGTCAAGGACCTGATGGAGAGTCTGATTGAGGAGGAAATCCTGGACATCCGTCGGGGTTGGGTCCTCGCCCCACCTTGTAAGGCCTTCCGTAATTCCATTCCCGACGCCAGTGTTCCATGTCAGTGAACCTCCTTCGGCTTTGACTGTTCACTCCCAAAAGATGACACAGTGTGCTATTCAGGCGACACCAGGGGCTCTCCCTTGAAGCCCCCGGCCACGAGCGACGACCGAAGCCAAGCGCCTTCCACCTCGACGACGAAGGCGCTGTCACGGTGGACGAGGATTCACTTCCTGGTCTCGCCTCTCCTGCCTGTCTCGCCTTAAATGCGTAATTTTAGGATACAATGACTGTAATTCTCTTTTGAATTACTGATATGTTGATTGCTCTTGACAAAGGATTTTTATGTAAAGCGTTTGTAATGACTGCAACCCACGTTAAAGACAAGAGGGTCGTTAACAGAGGATCTGTTTTTTTATACTTATGTGACTGCGATGTTCTGTCGCTATTGAAGAAAGTATCTCATTTCAAAAATAAAATACTTCATGTTTATCTAGTATTCATATATATCCTTATCCAGTATAATAAAGTGAACGATAGACAAACAGAAAGAGAGAGAGAGAGAGAAACAGACACACGCACGCATGATAATGCATGATAAATGATAATGAGAAAAGAG